ATATGTACACTTAAATGAAAAGAGGGATTGGAAAGATGACTCAGTGGTTAAGAGCACTGACTGCTCTTAGAAAGGACCTGGTTTCAATTCCCAGTACCCATGTGATAGCTAATGACCATCAGTAACTCCAGGTCCAGGGAATCTGACACCCTCTTTTGACCTCCATTGACATTGCAAGACATTACTGTACTTGCACACATGCAGGCAATACCCTCATACACATAAAAAAGAAAAGAACAAAAAGGAATTCAGAGGGTCTACTTGCAAAGATTAAATCATCTTAAAAGTTATACTGTATGAACGTGTAGACATACATATGTGTGCGTGTTGTTAGAGCTGCCAGCATTAATTTTGAAGTTGTAATCTGCTAAAATGAAGTATATTCTGAGATCTGTGAAAGTATCTCAGGAGGACAGATTCCACAATACTCCCTGATTTCTGCCTTAGCAAAACATTCTAAGGACATTTGGAGTACGATGTTCACAGACCAGTTTCTACAGGTCATGCTTCCGTTTTTCTACTTTGACTGGCTTCTTGCCAAAAACAAATGTCTTTCATAACATCCTTTGTGTATTGATGCTTTTGTACTATTGAGGTTTTATTTTTTAATTTGAGGGTTTCCTTAGTTTCCTGTTTTTAAAATTACCAGATAAATAATAAATATAATCTCTCAAATAAATTATACTGTAATATAACTTTACTCCCTTGCTAATTAAAGCATCTTTTAAAGCCATTTTACTCTAAAACCAAAAATAGTGCAGTCTCCTTGTGAGTCACCTGTGCAGACAGAGTAAACGGTGAGGGTTTAGAGGAGTCGGCAGCTCAGATGAGATGTGTTGACCACAGGCCTCACTGGCTGAGGTTGATGGAGAGGCAGTGATAGAAATGAGGGTAACAGAAGCACTTGGGTGCCCCCGAGAATGCTGGCTGTGTGCTTGGTGACAGAGTAGGTACTTTCCTGTGCAGGCATAGGCTCCCTAGAGGTTGCATAGGTGAGGGCCAGTACATCCTTAGCATGCAAAATTCCATTGCTAGAAACTATTTTGTGAGTGATTTTTAAGGTTTATTATTTGTTTATCTTCCAGTGCTGGAGATTAATCCCAGGGTCTAACACACATTGTGCCAGCACTCTGCCACTGAGCTACAGCCCTGGCTTGGAAATTTTATTCATATCTAATGATAATAAAGGTAGCCTGTATTCATTTGAGTCTCTTGAAGTACAAAACTCTGCATGTTCCATGGCACAATGTTGAGAGCCCAATTTAGGTAAAACTCTCAGTCACTTGGACTTTAATTTGTTTCCCAAGCAGCGTCCCCGGGTGCCTACAGTCTCTCTTACCCTGTGTCTCCTGTAGGTCCAGTACCTGACTTGGCTGTGCCTGGTAGAGCAGTGTGAAGACACAGCAGGGCTTTCCCAGGGTCTGCTGGGTTGTCATCAGTTCTTCAAATGCAGATCCCTTAATTTTCAGTTTAATCTAGAAAGCAGTCCATTGACATACGTGTTTACATTCTTCCAGAGACTCCGGCCAAGCATTTGATGTATTTGTCATCATAGAGAGATGAGATTATGAAGGCATATGCCTTAAAATAGTGAACAGTGCATGAAATCTTGTTACCTCTGATGGAAATTCTTTCCTTTGGTCTTTCCCTTTTCCTTTTTGAAAGGCAATTATCTCAGTCATGCTGGCAGTGGTTGTGGGTACCACTTTCCGTGTCCTAAGAAATGATTGTATTGAAGTCCTGGGTAGGTAAGTAAATTGGGATCTTGATTTTGAGAAAATGCTGTTATTTTGTTCAAGCTAATGTAAATCCATTCATTTACATTTATAACAAAAATGGAGAAAATGGGTCCGTTTTATTATGGGTAGAATGTATGGGTGCATTGAGAGCTGAGTGGAGGAATGCATTTTTTTTCTCATGTGCTTGTGTATATGTAGTATTAAACTATGCACACCACAAATATCACACTTTAAATCATTTTAAGTATATGATCAGTTGTATCAAGTATGTTATACAACTCTGTCCATAATCAAACAATAGAATAGTTCTTCATCTTCCCCAGTGGAACCCCATAGATACTAAAGGAATCTCCCCATACTCACCTTTCCAACTCCTGGAAATCACCATTCTGCCTTGTCTTTGAATATGACCAATGGAGTCATATGGTATTTGTTGTTGTTTTGTTTTGGCTCATTTATCTTTCCTAGCATTGTGTCCTCTAGGCTTATCAAAGTGTGGCATGTGTGGGAATTTCTTTTTAAAGCAGAATAATAGTCCATTATATGTATGTCCTGTGTTTTGCTTACCCATTTTTCTGTTGATGGAAATGTGGGTTGCTTTCACCTTTTGGCTTTATAAACAATGTGCTATGAGTGTGTGAATCTGCTTCAGTCCCTGATTTGTGTCTGTTAAGGTAGAATCCCGGAATTTCCAAATCATATGGCCACTGTGTTAGTTATTTGAGAAACTGGCTTACTGCTCCACCTGTATTATTTTATATTCTTCCAGGAGCACACAAGGATTCCAATATTTCCACATCCCCACCCAAAAGTGTGTATTTTTTTCTTGGTTTAAATAAGATATCCAACATAAACAAAACACAGAGAAATCCAGTAGATCTTTCATGAAATGGCTAATGAAGTAATATCCCATTTTTAAATTGGATTATTTCATTTTCATTTTATTATGCACACGTGTGCATACAAATCCCCCAGCATGCATTTGGAGATTGAAGGACAGGTCATGGGAGTCACGTCTCTCATTTTTCCAGGAGAATTCTGGTGTTGAACACAGGTCTCTGGCTTGGCACCAGGCTTCTCTACCTGCTGAGCCATCGTGCACTGACCGTTCATTTTTTTCTTGTCGTTGGGTTGGAGTTATTTTTATTCCTGAGGTACAAATCCCTCACTGGATGCTTGACTCACATATGTTTTCCCCTCTGTGTGTTGGCTTTTCATTCTCTTGATAGTGCCCTTGATGCATAAATGTTTCTAAGCCATTCTTTTGTTGATTTGGTACCAGTTTTCTTGAGTATGTATTTGGTTTGTTTGAATGTGAGTGAGGACTAATGTTTTTCCTGACTGTCATACTGATGTCACTTTCATGATCTTAGCTAGCTTTAGTCACAGAGTGTCCTTAAAGATAGCCTTTCATGTTAGGACTTTTTAGTCATGTTGCAAACATAGGTTCTCAGCACCATCACAAGCTCCCCCCTTGGTGTCTACAGCCTCAGGGTATCTCCCAGTGGCCTGAGAGCCTTGATATATTATCTCCATTTATTACTAAGGAACTTGGAGTAAACGAACATTGAGTGCATTTCAGTGGAATATGTACATGTTTGTAGGAGTTACATGCACGTGTGCGTTGTTGTGTACACGTGCATATATGTGAATGCTAGAAGTCGATGTCAGGTGCTTTCATCACTCTCCACCTTTATTTTTTATTATTATTTTTACTTTATGTGTATGGGTGTATTGCCTGCATGTATGTAAGTGCACTCATGTCATGCAAAGCCAGTGGAGGTCAGAAGAGGGTGTTGGATTCCCCTGGAACTGGAGTTATGGGTGGTGGTCAGCTGCCATGTGGGTGCTGGAAATCAAACCAGAGTTCTCTGCAAGAGCAGTCAGTGCTCTTAACCACTGAGCCTTCTCTCTAGCCCCTCACCTTTTTTTTGTTTTTTCTTTTTAAGGTATAGTGTTCCTGTTTGCTTCCTGATTGCTGTGACAAAATACTTTGATCTATACTAACTTAGGGAGTTAGGGAGCAAAGGGTTTATTTGGTTCACATCTCACAGGTCACAGTTTATCACTGAGGGAGCCTAGTGCAGGAACCTGGAGGCAGGAGCTGAAGTGTAGTCCATGGAGGAACGCTGTTTATTGGCTTCCTCTTCTGGCCCCTGCTCCACCTGCTTTCTTATAAAACATAGGCCTAACTGCCTAGGGGTGGCACTGCCCATGTGGACTGGAACCTCCTACATCACTCAATAATCAAGAAGATATCCCACAGACATGGCCACAGGCCAGTCCAGTGGAGGCAATTCACCAATTGGGTCTCCCTCTACCCAAGTGTGTCAAGTTGAAAATTAAAGCTACCCAACAAACAAGATCTCTCATTGAACTTAGAGCTCATTGATTTGGTTAGGCTGGCTAGTCAATGAGCTCCAAGCATCTGCCTCCCTTGCATGTGGCATGGCCGACAGTTAAGCTATCTACCCACCCCATGAATCTACTTTGATGTCTGGAAAATGCTAATTAATCTTGAAAGAAAGAATAAGAATAAATATCAGTTCTTCACTTGCGTGAATTTTCTTCTGTATGGAGCAGATGTTGCTGTCCAGTGAGATGACACAGCAGATTTCCATTTTGGTCTCTTTTCCTTCTCCGTTTCCCTTTCCTTCCCCTCACCTTGCTCCTGCTTTCCATTTTCTCTCTCCTCCCTTTTTTCTCTCTCCTCCCTCCACGCTTCTCTCCTTCATCTCTTTACCTTTTTCCTCCTCTTCTCTTCCCTCTCATTCCGTTCCTTTCACCTGTTTCTCTTCTCTCCTTTCCCCTCTTCCTTCCCTCTCCTTCTGCTCTTTTATCTCCTGCTCTCAGGTCCCTTACTGAACCTGGAACTCGCTGTTTGGCCAGACTAGTGACCCAACATCCAGGATCCTCCCATTTGCTTCCTAGTGGGATTTCTAGCGGTGCCACCATGACAGGCTTTTTACACGGATGCTGGAGATCAAACTCAGTCTTCATGTTGCCTAGCCATCATTTTACCCACTGAGCCGCTCCCCACCTCCTCCTTCCCTTTTTTTCTTTCTGTTTTTGGCCTTTTGATGTAGGGTCTGGTTGTTGATCTGGAACTTGCTATGTAGCCTCAGTGTGACTTTTTTTTTTTTTTAATCTTTAGGGTTTTTTAAAAATATTATTTTTATTTTATGTGTGTGAGTGTATTGCCTGCACGTATGTGAGTGCACCCATGTCGTGCAATGCAATGCCGCAGAGGTTAGAAGAGGGCTTCGGATTCCCCTGGAACTGGAGTTAGGGACGGTTCGTAGGCGCCATATGGGTGCTGGGAATCGAACCTGGGTCCTCTGCAAGAGCAGTCAGTGCTCTTAACCACTGAGCCATCTCTCCAGCCCCATGAAG